AGAAGGAGAGGCACGTCATCGAGACGACGCGCGAGGCGAACGACCGCGCGGACGAGCGCGTCGGCTGCGCGACGGCCGACGCGCGCGTCGCCGCGGCGTGCGCGTACCGGGCCCGGGGCCTCGCGCTCAAGCGGGCCAAGGACCGGCCCGCCGCGCGGCTCCTGCTCTGGCGCGCGGACTGGCTGCTCCGGGACGACGTGCCCTGCGACCCGCCGCGCGAGGCCGCGCGCCACTGGCACGAGGCGGAGAAGCTCCGCGAGGAGGGCCTCGGCCACGAGGACGGCGACGAGGCCTGGGACGACGTCTGGGCCGACTGCGGCGACGCGGACCTGCGCGCGCTCCGCTGGGTGCTCCGCGGGAACCTCCACTGCGACGCCGCGGCCTGCGCCATCGAGAGCGGCCACTGGCGCGCGGCGCTCCGCGAGGCGTCCTGGGTCCTCGACGATGCTCGAAAAGCCGCGGCCGGGCGCCTGAACCGGTGGACGGCGAGCTACCGCTGCGCGCAGGCGCACCGGGGCCTCGGCGACAGCGACGCCGCGATGGCGTGCCTCGGCGCGCTCCCGACGGACGCCGCGGCGCCGGGCGCGGCGGGCACGCTCGCGCGCGCCGCGGCGCGCGTCAAGGCCGCGCTCGTCGTCGACGAGCGCAAGCTCGCGGGCATCGGCCGCGCGCTGCTCCACGGCATCGCCGAGGGCAAGAGCCTCTACGCGGAGGACGAGCTCCGGCGGCGCCGCGCGGCCGCGCGGCGGCTCAAGAAGGAGCAGGACGCGCGCGAGGCGCGCGAGCGCGCGGCGCGCGGCGAGGAGGAGGAGGACCCCTGGGCCGAGGAGCGCAAGCTCACGGAGCTCCACCGCCGCGCGCGCGCGCACCGCGACCGCATGGACCGCGAGATGGACGAGACGTGCAGCCTCGAGACCGCGCGGCGCCTCATGACGCTCCACCGCGACGGCGCGCCCATCGAGCAGCTCCGCGCGGAGTACGAGGAGATGGACAAGAACGAGCGCCACGGCATGCTGCCCATGATGAACGACGACGAGCGCGCGGAGCTCGCGGCTGTGTGCGAAACAACCAGTGGAACGCCCTGTCCAGCAAAAACTTCAAACCTCTCTATATCGGTCAAATCAAAGTCGTTTTGGCTGATTTTGGACGAATCATTTTCTCTCGGCGAGTTCTTTTCAGACAGTGAAGAAAGTATGTCGAAACCGTGCAAATACATGAACATTGAAGTCGTGTTGAATATTTTTGTTTCCTGCCCAGGCTCGCGGAGTGGTCCACGAAGCTCAACAACGCGCTCCGCGCGGAGAACGAGTCCAAGGGCGACAAGAAGCTCGTGCAGCGCCGCGAGGAGATCTACCTCGAGTACCGCAAGCGCTACGTGCGCGTCCGCAGCGACATCGAGGTGCGGGAGAAGCTCAAGGGCATGGACGAGGGCACCGCCGCCGCGTGGCGCGAGGCGGACCGCCTCGAGCGCGACGA